AAGCCTTCTGATTTTTCCCTCATTCATCTTCTCATTCATTTTAAAATGTTTTGGCTGAAAACAAATAAGTGTCCTACCTCAAAGCGTGAAAAGAAAGTTTTGGGGTTTTTTGTGTGTGTGTGTTTTTTTTTTGTTGCTGTTGTTGTTGTTGTTTTAATTTCCAACACTTTTTGGATTTTTTTTTGTTTGCTTATTTGTTTTATTCTTGTGTGTGGATTCCCCCCACCCCTCAGTTTTTCTCCTTCTCTTTTCTTGTTTTCTTTTCCTTTGTTGATCTTTCCTTTCTTGCTCTCTTTAGTTTTATTTCCTCTGTCCTCTTTTTCCTGTTGTTTTCTTCTTCAATTCACTTTCATTTTGCACCAAACTCTGTTTTGGTTCTTCTATTTTCTTTTCTTTCCCAATATTGGTTTTGGGTGTATATTTTTTTGTTTGGTTTTGTTCTCCTTTTTCTTTATCTGGCAATAGACAGCAACAGCATTATATTCTCCAGTAATGCCTGAACCTTCTGCAGATTCATCTATCAGGTTAAAGACCAGCTCTTGCTCTAACTTATCAATGAAATGACTATGAATAATGCACAGTCTAGTTGACTCTCTACTGCTCTACATGGACAGAGGTCAAAGAATTGTATACACATCTGGATCCTCAGATCAACCAGAGACAGAAGGTAAAATATTGAGAACTACTGAACTAGCAAGCAACACAGCATGCTCACAAGACTCAATCATACATCAAAACAAAATAATATAAAGATTAAAACAACACACGTCTTGGAGGCAACACATAACTTTAAGTCAGTCCCTAAAAAGATAACATGGAGTAAGAATACAAAGAACCAAAACACAAACCCCAAAAATCTTTCAGAAGATCAGATGCTATTCAAAATTCCTGACAAACATTTGAAAAGAATAACAGATCAATGTCATCCACAGATTGAGAAAAAGGTTGGGAAAAAACACAGAATACACAAAGAAATTAAAAAACAAACCAAAACAAGATCAAATAGTTAAAATAAATGGAAAATTAGAAGCCTATAGAAACAGAAAAAGGAAATTCAGAATATTAGAACTAAACTCTCAGAAATAGGTAACACTATGGAAAGACAAAAGAGCAGAATTGAAGACTAATATGAGTGTTTGATGTTGAGGTGCAATCATTCTTAGATAGTTATCAGAATAGGAAGTGGGTATGGGGTAAAAAGAAATAAATATTGGACACTTATTAAACTCGGTGAAGGGATATATAATATTTAAGGAGTTGGTCAAACATTTGGTTAATTGCATTGCTACTACTATTAATTTCATTCCTGCCATAGTACACCATATGAGTATCTGATTTAAAGTGGCCAAAGCTGGTCCATCACGTCTCACAAATGTCTGTTGTTGTTGTTATGTGCCATTCAGTCGCCTGTGACTCTTAGAGACCCTCTGTACAACAGTCCTAAACTCTGCTCTATCCCTTGCCAATCTTATTATCTCCAACACATCTATCCCTGTTACCCCAGTGACTGAATCAATCCATCTCATCGAGGGGGCTTCCTCTCCTGCACTGGCCCTCCATCCCAAGCATGATGTCCCTCTCCAAGAACTGATCCCTCCTTGCAACATGTCCAAAGTATGTCAGATGAAGCTTCAGAATCCTTGCCTCCAAGGAGCAGCATGGCTTCACCTTCTCCAGGACAAACTTATTTGTTCTCCTAGCAGTCCATGGTATATCCATACTCTTCTTAAGCACCACAGCTAAAAGGCATCAACTCTTCTTCTATCATCCCTAGTCATTGTCCAGCTTTCTAATGCATAGCAAATAATTGCAATGACTAATCCCTGTATCAGGCGCACCTTAGTCTCCAGACTGACATCATTGCTCTTCAGTACTTTGGAGAGGTCTCTTACAGCAGATTTTCCCAATGCAATTTCCTGATTGCTGCTACCAAGAGTGCCTGGTATGTCAATATTTATGCATTCCATTTAATTTTTAACAATTTCCAATTTTCCAACATACAAGCTATGTGCATTTCATGTTCCAATTGTTAAACAATGTTTGTTATTGATTTTCCTCATTTCAACTGACTTCCAATCTGGGATCTACCACTACATTACTATTACTATTTTAGTGTACATAGAGTTTTCAAAAGCACATTATTTTGGAAGTAGTTGGCCCATCATGCTTCCTAGTCTGTCTTAATCAGGGAGCTCCACCAAAACCTGTCCACGATGAGAAACCCTTTTGGGATTTGACACATCAATGTAACAGATTTCAGTGTCACACCAACCTCAAGTACTCAGTACAGCAAACTGACAGCTACACCACTTATAACAATGCTCTCTTCAAACACTATTAATACCAGCCCCAAGGGCTGACTTTTAAATACAAAGGCCTTCCCACCACATCCTGTTTGCCTACACAAGAGACTTCTCACCCACAGCTGACTGTAAGCAAGATCAGATGGATCCTGGCTGAAAGTAAGAAATATCAGAAGAACATCTATTTGTGCTTTCTTGACTATGCAAAGGTGTTTGACGATGTGGATCATGACAAGTTGTGGTTGACACTGAGAAGAGAAGAACGGGAATCCCAGAGCACTTGATTGTGCTTCCACAGAACTTACACCTGGATTAAGAGGCTATTGTGCGAACGGAGCAGGGGAGAACGGCACAGTTTGGAACTGGGAAGGGAGTTCATCAAGACTAGAAGCAGAAGGATGTGGACGTGCATGGGAAGGGGGGGGATGAATCATTGAATTGTACAATTTGAGGGGGTGAGGGAAATTGAAAGAATTTGTTAGAATTTGTATTCGAGTTTTGTAAAGAAACTAGTGTGTGTGGGAGAAGTTGTATTCTCTTTCCATACCTACTTAATTGGTATGCTAAACAAATTATCTGAGAAGCTAGACTCTATGAGGAGGAGTGTGTCATCAAGATTGGAGGGAGACTCCTCAATAACCTTCGTTATACAGATAACACCACCTTGCTTGCTGAAAGTGAAAAGGATTTGAAGCACTTGTTGCAGAAGATCAAGGAATGCAGCCTTCAGTATGGATTGCATTTCAATATCAGGAAAATGAAGATTCTTACCACTGGACTTATAGGCAACATCATGGATAGAGAGGAGATTGAAGCTATCAACAGCTTCTTCTTGTTTAAATATACAAGTAACACCCTTGGTACAGCAGTCAGGAAATAAGGAGATGCATTGCAGTGGGAAAATCTGCAGTTGGGCACTTTTCCAAAGTACTGAGGAGTAGTGATTTCGGTTTGAAGACTAAGGTGCATCTGATTCAGGCCATAGTCTTTCTGATTACTAACTATGCATCTGACACCTGAACAATGAATAAGGAAGACAGAAAAAGAATTGATGCCTTTAAGATACGATGTTGGAGAAGAGCACTGAACATCCAACAGACAGCCAAGAGAACAAACAGAAACATCTTGGAAAGGGTGCAGCCAGAGTGCTCTTTGGAGGCAAGAATGATGAGGCTTCATCTCACATACTTTGGACATGTTCTTGGAGGGATTTTTTCTTAGCGAAGGACATGGTGTTGTGAAGTTTGGAGGGTCCACAAGGAGAGGAAGACCCTCAACCACGTGGATTGATATGGTGACTGCTGCAATGGGCTCTTGTGTGTCAGGAAGTGTGAGGATGGTGCAGGATAGAACAGGGTTCAGATCTTTTGTTCATAGGGTCACTATGAGTTGTGCTCAACTCGACGGCATCTAATAACAACAACAACTAGTACTCATTGTTGTTAAGTCAGAATCAACAAGTAACTGACCCTTCAGAGGAGGAGAGTGCCCATTTTTCCCCCTTGAAGCAGGTGGTGTATTTGAATCACCTGCTTTTGGGTTGATAACATCTTACTCAGTAGGCCACTCCTTGTTGTTAGGTGCTATAGCATTGACTACAGTCAACTTACAGAGACCCTGTGAACAGCAGATATGAACCTTGCCCTAGCTTGGCCCCTCTTCACCATCTCTGATATGCTGGAGCCAATCGTTACAGTCACTTTTTGTTGAGGGTCTTTCTCTGCTTATCTGACCTTCAACATTTCCCAGCACAATGTCTTTTTCCAAGGACCAGTCCCTCCTGATAAGAAGCCTGAAGTGTATGTATGAAACGACGTTTCTCCATTCTTGCCTCCAAACAGCACCCCGGTTGCCCTTCCTCCAACACAGACTTGTTTGTTCTGTTGGCAGTCCAGGTAATGCTTAGGCTACTAGAGCTGCAAATTAATTTATTATACTAAAAGTTGTCATTACTATCCTAAAACAAGATGTGTATGAATTACTGAATGAAACACCAGTGTGAAATTTACACTTACATTCAAATTACAATAAAATACATTTTAAAAAAATAAAGTGGCTTGAGGCCTTCAAGATGAGACAAGCTAGACATTAAACTAGATATTAATGATCCCGAATGACTGGATGAAAAGTCATTTATCTACATTTCTCAGGTTTTCAGATGTTTAGGAACACTTCATGTGTAACTGCTTCAAGTAGCATTTTCATATACTTGCTAACATTTTCTCCTTTTTATTTGGCTGGGTTTTGGCTAAATCGATGTTCTGGTGTAAGTCTTGTTTCAGCCTTGTAAACTGAGTTGATCTGACTTCTGAAATTCCTAAAGTCACTCAAAAAGACTGAAAATTCTGAAACAGTATCTTGTTTTGGCATTTGCCTCTATCTGAAAATAAGATTCCTTTGCTCAATAAGTATTGGTTAAACATTCTCCCTTTCTTCAGCTGTATGAATATTTTTTTCAAAAAGTTGGAGGGACAGTGGCCTTTGGTTTCTGAGATCTTAGGGTATTTGTCTAATCAATATCCTGGTTACTAATTAACCACATCTGAATGAGAATTGGGCAAATCTTATTAGTGACAAATATCTGATAGATCTTACAACTTTTGACCTATAAACATCTTTTACCCCAAACTCCCCAAATATATGGTTGGGTGTTTTGTTTTGTTTTCCTTAATTACAGGGCTATAGTCTCTGGATGAGATGTTTGCTGTTGCTTTTCTCAGCCTGTCTTTGATGATTTGTGGCCCTGGGGAGACCTTGCAGGAAAAAGTGAACAGGTGAGTAGATCAGACAGTTCTCCAATAGTACATGTTGGAATCAGCTTGTGAGGAACTAAGACACTTTCATGTTTGCAACAGGCTATTTTGTTGTGATTATAAGCCTCTTTTCATATTATTGCTAACCCAGTGAAGGAGTGCAGGAAAATTCAAAGAGCACGTGCTTTCAGTCAGAAAGGGCTGTCTAGAAACCATAGCTTTCTCAGTACCTGGGTCTCTCTATCTCACTGCCGTCAAGTCAGCACCTACTCAGAGCTGACTCTCCATTGGGTTTCTGAAGCAGAAAATGACAGGGTAGATTGCTCATCTTTCTCCCATTAAGTTACTAGTGGACTTGTTCAGCAGAGATGCATGGCCTTTGGCCTAGCGGCACAACTTGCCCTAGACCAGAGCTCCCCTTAGGATTCGGGTATTTTGGAGGAAATCACTCAAGCTCTCCAAGCCTCAGTTTCCCTATCTGTAAAGTTAGAATAAAAATACCTCCTCTCTGTAAAAGTTAATAGTGATGATATGACATCCTGAATTTAAAATGCTCTAGGCTTATGATAGGTGAGTAATAAATTATATTCTCATGGGTAATGTTAGATAACCAACCTTCTACTTAAGATATTTCCTTATCGGCAAAAGAGAAATCACAAGAAGACACATCTCGTGGGGTTGTTGGGAGAATGAAATTAAATAATAAATGTGAAAACATTATAGAAAAAGCAAAGAGCAGTAGAACTATCAGCTTATTTGAATCTATAAATTAGCCTTTATTATTACTTTAGTGGACAGAGGAATAATTTTATACATGCATTGCTTCTTTAACTTTGTATTTCCTTGCCTTTATTCAGTTTGGCTTCTAGCTTTTCCATATCACAACAGTGAGTATGCCACAGTGTTTAAGCAACCCCTTGTCTCACATTTGGAATAATTTTAAAGCAGGCCCTGTCTTCTAAACGTGAATGATTTTACATAGAGTTATTATAGTCAAAATCTTATGAGAGGATTCAATTTTGAATCATTATTGCTTTTAAAAGTTACAGGAGGGATTTCCTTTAAATAACAGTTCAGAAGGGGAGATATGCATTTTATAGCTGTTAATTTGTAACTCTCTGTTTAAAGTGAAAACAATTTTGAAAAATCAGGAAATTCGTCATTAATGATTAGGAGATAAAAGCATGAGGACTGTGGTAAAGGCAATCTCTGCTGAGATACTCTTAATTATAAAAGCTTATCATTGTAATCCTTTTTGAAACTGAACAAAGAACCTTGATGTTTGATGAACTTATCAAACAAGACAGACCAGTGAAGAGACAAATTTGAAGTCAACTCGAAGAAGAAGCAATTAAATATTTTACAAAGCGCTGAAGTAAGAAATCAGGGGATCTAAAGATGGGCAGTCTCTTCCTTTTAAGATGTACAGCTTTGAAAACTTGACGAAGGATCACTATGAGTTAGAACCGACACTGGCAATAAGTGAATGTGTACGTTGTGTCTAATGCCAGCATGTCTGACACTGAATTTAAGATGGGAGGGGGGAAAAACTAGACAGTGACAACCTTTGCTGCTTTCAAATGTGTGCTTTGGCATTTATAATTAGACAATGAATAAGGATGACAGAAGAAAAATTGATGCCTGTGAACTATGAAGTTGGAAAAAAGTACTGAATATTTCATGGACTGCCTAAAGAACAGAGATGTGTCTTGGAGAACGTGCAGCCAGACTGCTCCTTGAAGGCAAAGGTTGCAAAGCTTTATCTCTTGTTCTTTGGGCATATTGCTAAGAGAGGGACATCATGCTCAGAAAGGTGGGGAGATGGTAAAAGAGAGGAAGACCCTAAAGCAAGTGGACTGGCACAGTGATTAGGGCTAAAGGCTCAAGTGTGTCAGAGATGGTGAAGTTGGCACAGGATAGGATAGGGCCCAGATCTGTTGTTCATAGGGTCGCTATTAGTCATACTCAAGTCGATGGCACCTAACAACAACAAGAACAATTGGAAAACAAATAAGGATTACAGAAGAAGAATTGATACTTTTGAGTTATGATGTTGGAGAAGAGCACTAAATAGAGCATGTTATTGTTGTGTACTGTAGAGTCAGAACCAACCCATAGCTGACCCTCCGGGGCATTTTCAGAAGCAGTTAATCACACAGGAGGTTGTCCATCCTTCTCCCGTGGAGCAGCTGCTGGCCTCGAACCACGTGCCTTCAGAACTGCAGTGCAACTTCTTGCCTCTAGGCCACCAGAGCTTCCTAAATATATTATAAACCTTAAAAAAAACCCCAAATATATATGTTTTGGATAAAATATAATCAGTGTGTTCCTTGGAGGCAATGAAAAGGAAACTTCATCTCACATATTTTGTGCATGTGGCTAGAAGAGGCTATTCCTTTGAAAGACACATTATGCTTAGAAAAGTAGAGGGTCACAGAAAGAGAGAAAGACCTTTAATGAGATGGATTGACACAGTGACCAGAGCAATGGGTTTAAGTGTGTCAGAGATGATGAGGATGGCACAGGATAGGACAAGGTTCAGATCTGCTATTCATTGGGTCACTATGAGTCATACTCAACTCATTGACACCTAACAACAAGAAGTGGCATGAATAGTCCAGATCAGGCAGTGACTTCAAACATTCCTAATATAAGAATGTTGTTGTTGTTATGTGCCGTCGAGTCGTTTCCGACTCATAGCGACCCCATGCACAACAGCCCTAAACCTTGCTCTATCCTGCGCCAACCGCACCGCCTCTGACACACCCATCCCGATTACCCCAGTCACCGAATCAATCCATCTCATAGAGGGTCTTCCCCTCCTGCACTGTCCCTCCACCCTCCCAAGCATGAAGTCCCTCTCCAAGGACCCGTCCCTCCTGGCAACATGTCCAAAGTATGTCAGACGAAGCCCCAGAATCCTTGCCTCCAAGGCGTAGCTTGGTTTAATTCTCTCCAAGAAGAATCTGTTTGTTTTCCTTATATTTCTTCAAATAAAATCTTCCATAACTCCTAACTAAGAAAATAGATGGTGCACATTTTTATCTCTGTGCATTTATTTTATGAATTCATGTATAACATTTATTTCTATGAGGTCTAGGAAGGTGATGTATCACTGAGGTATGAAGCCAGGGAAGGAGAAGCCAGGTGAAGACTGAGGGAAGGATAGTCTGGGTGGAGAGATCAACAGGTGTTAAGACTTGGGGGGACAATTTTCTGGGCAGTGAGATCAACAGGTGTTACGACTCTACTGTGGAAAATAGTTCATCATATTCATGGAACTGAAGGATGGTGGTACCGTGAGAGCAGGAGATTGATCTGTAAGAGAATGCAAAAGAGGTGGGCAGAGATTTGATTATCGAGGATCTACTCTGGTGAGATGTTATGGTGAGGAATAGAATTTTACAAGCAGTAGTCACTGGAAGGTCTACTCAGGAGTGGTACTTTCAGGTTTATAATTTTTAACACTCATTCTTCTGTGCTGCAATCCTTGAAGGCACACAGTTCAGGGCCACCAGCTGCTCCATAGGACAAGGATGAGCAGTCTCCTCACATGCAATTAGGCGTCTCTGAAAACCCACAGGAGGATCAACTGTGGGTTGATTCTGACTCTACAGTAAACAACAATGACATGCATCTAAAAGTTGGACAAGGAATGAGAATGACAGAAATACTCATTCTGGTTGATAAGTCCAGAACATAGTGTTGTTGTTTGTTGTTGTTGTTATGTGCCATCAAGTTGTTTGCGACTCATAGCGACCCTTTGTATAAGAGCCCTAAAACGCCATTCTATCCTGCGCCAACCTCGCTGTCTCAAACACATTCATTTCCACCACTCCACTCACAGAATCGATCCATCTCACTGAGGCTCTTCTCTTCTGCGCCATGCCTCCACTCTCCCAAACATGATGTCCCTCCCTGAAACATGCCCAAAGCATGTCAGATGAAGCTTCAGAATCCTTGACCCCAAGGAGCATTCTGGCTTCACACTCTCCAGGACAAACCTGTTTGTTCTCCTAGCAGTCCATGGTATATTCAACACTCTTCTCCAGCACCACAACTCA